ATTATTTTCTTAATAATTTTCCGGGATAGATTGATCGATCACTACTACTAGTTTCATGCACAAGAAAACAATAACCAATAAACCACCGGCACAAACCAAACCCACCTTTAATTGTTGAGCAGAGTACGAATTCCACTTACAGGACAACTGCTTACAAAATGATATAATATACCAAGCCATTGTAGAATCAGCAACTTCACTAACTGAAGGATCCTGGAAGCAGAAAAATTACGTACGCAAAATATCCTTTAGAAAATTATGAATGTATGAATGATACAATGCTTTCTAAACGCAGGCTCGAAAACAAATTTTTACTAGGTTAGTTAAAAATCGAAAACTTGTAAAATACCAACACGAAATATGCAAATATATGTACTGTTTAAGACTTAGATAATGTAACATACTTTAGACAAAATCAATTCTTTAAACTAAAGAAACGAAATAACGAAGCCTCGAAAAAAAATCTGAATAAATTGAGTAAATATAGAAATTAATTAACTACGAATGAACACATAAATATCAGCTCATCCATAAGTTCTGTCCGAATTTTAACTTTTTGTTAAAAGGAACAAAATTTGAAGAGTATTTTATAATGTCTAATGGAGCTGAACATCATTTTTATGTTTAGATGCATTTAAACTGATCAAATTTTATTTCAGACAATAAAATTAAATTTTGTTTGATTGAAACCTTGCTATCATGGAAGTACCCAAGAATCATTTGAGGCACATAATGCTTTATGAGTTCAAGAAAGGAAACTCAGCAGCCGAAGCGGCTAGAAACATTCACTCAGTTTATGGAGAGGAATGTGTGAATAAAAAGCACTTGCAGAAGATGGTTTGCAAAATTCAGAGGTGGTGATTTCACCTTTGAAGATGAAGATCGAACCGGGCGTCCAGTTGAGTTTGATGAAAAGCTTCCTGAAGCAGCCCTTGAAGAAAATCTTGCTTTATCAGTTGAGAAATTGGCAGTGGTTCTCAGTTCAAACCATACAACTGTTCATCGTCATCTTCAAAAACTTGGAAAAGTTCCTAAACTTGGAAAATGGGTGCCTCATGAATTGTCTGAAAACAACCTCAAATCCCGAGTTGACATATGCTTTTATCTCCATTCTCGCCAACTTGTTTCACCTTTTTTGTATAGACTTGTGACTTGTGATGAAAAATGGATCTTTTATCGAAATGTTAAGCGTCGTAGACAGTGGCTTGGTAAAGGGGAAGGACCCTAGCCAGAGCCGAGAAGGAAACTTCATGGGCAAAAGGTTCTTCTTTCAATCTGGTGGGATCGCCAAGGAATAATCCACTTTGAATTCTTACCACCTAATGGAACAATTAATGCTCAGATATACTCTCAGCAATCAGAGCGTTTGAACCAAGCTTTGAGGAAAAAAAGACCTGTTCTAGTGAATCGAAAAGGGTGGATGTTTCATCAGGACAATGCACGACCCCACACAGCAAGAACCACGTCACAAAAGATCGAAGAACTTGATTGGGAGAAAATTCCTCATCCACTTTATTCTCCCGATCTTGCTTCTTCAGACTACCATTTGTTTCGTAGCTTACAGAATAATTTGGAAGAAACAGTTTTGTAACACAGGATGAGGTTAAAACTGACATTTGTGAGTTCTTCGAATCAAAGCCAAAAGAATTTTACAGTAATGGAATTAGTAAGCTTGTTAATAGATGGAAGGAAGTCATAGATAATCAGGCAAAATACATTGTTAATTGAATCTGTTATTAAATGTAACATTTGGTCACTTGTTTTCTTTATTCAAAATTCGGACAGAACTTATGGGATGAACTGATACAAGTGAATGTAATAATAGTAATCAACGACAAATAACTAAGTAATCAAAAATAAATAATTAATAACAACTTAAAAAGCCACATTATAAAATAGCTTCAAATAACCGTATTCAGATCCATTATTACTTCTACGCTATAGCCTCTAGAATAATTTGAAATGCAACCATTACAGCCCACCCTATAACCATCAGGATATACAATAGACCTTACTACCCATAATTCACCACTAAGCGGCATATATAAATAGTCGAGTGAAAACACAAAACACATGATGTGAAGATTGTGTTGAGCCATGAAACAGACTGTTGCTGCTTGGTGTTGACTTCAGATTGATATATACATACACATATATCTATATTTCATATAAGGTGACCTTTAGATAAGACGAAAAAATATAGCAATTTTTTAATGGATTTATCCAATAACTGTAGTACAAAACGATAGCTTATTGATTATATAAAGATGATGTTATTGGAAATTATTTGTTAGTTACTTTATCCTTAGAAATTCAAAATAAACAAAAAAATATATATTCTATATCATGTTTTTCCTAGACATGTCCCCTAAAAAGGAAACCATTTTTGTTTACATTTCATCATGTGATCTCTTGTGAATACTGATTTTCCTTCTTCTGCCTCTTCTTTTCCTTTATCTAAACAGTTACAAACAGCCTGGTGTACTAATGGCCATTTACTTATACTTCACTGAAAATCACAAAATACCGCTAATAACAGTATAATAATGTACGATAAGACTACATTCCACTATCAATATTTTTTTTAATATGATGCTATCCTAAATGTTATTATTGTTGTAATTAACAATACCATGATGATTATTGAAAGTTCAGCGAATGATAAAGGTTGCTGTGAACGTAATCATGACTTGATTTTCTCATCAGCTTGCAGGGATACAAGTTGATTTCATTCATATGGAATTATTCTTCAAATAGGCTTTTATTATGATGATATCCAGTAATATATAAGATGGAAATGGTATTATTACTTTTATGATAGGTTTATTTGATAATGTGAATCTTTTCTTGTACGTTAATGGTTATCGCGGCGAGGCCGAGGTTTGCGTACCAACAAACAAAATATACGATATAGGTCTTCAATTGGGTTAAGGTCAGGGCTCTGACTAGGCCACTGGAAGAGTTGCAATTTATTCACGTCGAGCTTCCTCTCTAGATAACGTTTATTCTTTAAGGCAGTATGTTTAGGATAGTTATCGTGTTAGAACTTGAAGTATTGGCCGTGGGCAACATTTTTTTTTCAGCAGAAAGCTACATTTGATTAACAAGAATATTGTGGCATCGATGCTAGTCCATGATTCTCTTAATTTCGTAAAAATTACCAATTCCTGCTGCTGAGAATTCACCCCAAACGTTGAATTTTTTTATCTTGTTTAACAGTGTCCTTGGAAGTCACTGCAGTATTCGTTTCACTGGGTGTACACCAAACACGTATTCATCCTTCATAAGAGTAAAGGGACTCTCGTCACTCCACATAACATCTTCCGAATCACACTTAATCCAGTGTAAATGAGCTTCGCATCAAGCCAATCATGCCCGTGGATTTTTCAAGATACGAAAGGTTACTTTTTTATGTATTTGTAAACAATGCCTTTCGCTTTAAGCCTGCGTCTGACTGTTCTTGAAGAAACCGCCAAACTAGCATTGACGAACCAAGTTTCTATCTTCCCTGTCGGTAGTTTTTATCGTTCAGCCAGATCCACTACGTTTATTATATGTTCCAGTTTGATTTCTCTTTTTGATTAACTTGCAGACACATGACTCACTTTGAGTAATCTTGCCTTGGCTTTTCTCGAAGTCAGAACAATTCTTAGGCACGTTAATATATGTAAATACAAATGTAATAAGTTTTATATTTTGTTCGTCATCATTTTTATGGGTGCGTCATTTTTTTTTCTGCTGCGACGAGGGTAAATTGCAACTCTTCCACTGGCCTAGTCAGAATCCGAACCTTAAGCCAAATGAAAACCTTTGGGTGATAATGGATAAGCCTGCTCGTAATAAGAAAGTTTACGCAGAAGATGAGCTTTTTCGCGAATTAAAGAAATGCTGTAAAAATTTTGCGAGGACGTTGACTTACTAAAGCATTTAGTCTATAGCATTAAGAATTAAGGCTATTATTAAAGCAAAAGATTACCCCAAACAAATACTAAATCATATTTGACTTGTATAATGTACATATGTACACCTGTATTAATAAAACGTATTAATAAAATTCTATTACTCATTTGTCTTGGTAAAAATACAAAAATAGACTTTTCCATTTTTTGCCTCGTGCTATACATATATATCCCTGACGATCCGTTTAGGTGAAACCTAGGTATTTTTTGTCTGGCTCACTAGGTGTATCTAGGTCTGCTCTACAGTTGTATTGAGCTCTTTTGTTAGTTAGTTCTTACTCGTATCAGGGTTTTTTTCTTTGGGCTTCAGATCTGCATCTGTGCGATTTTTTTGTCGGCAGAAGTTCATGTTTGTAGCTCTTTTTTTTTTTAAAACCTTTTTCCCTCGAGATTGATTTGATTATTAGCAAATCAAAAATTGAGGGTTTTTCGAAAACGAGTCTAGTTATCTATATATATATATATATATATATATATATATATATAATAATGGACTCGTCGGTTTCGGCGTATAAGGATCTGACAACTTAACCAATTGATTCAGTTATGAAATTTTGTGCGATAATCTTAAGTGGCACTTAAGACCCGCTAGTGATTTACAAAGGAGGCCACATATGGAGCAAGAGTGAGCATTGTGAGATGAGATCACTGTTAGATTGGCTGACCTTTTAGATCTTGTTCTCGCTTCTTGGAGACAATTCAGACAAACAGATTGAAAACTGCCGAATCCACTAAAACACGTTGATCTCCATTCTACCCGCTCCAAGGCTAAGTGCTCAAGGGTGTTATGTGGTATATTTACTGCTGACAAGTTCCTTTTCAGCTTGTCTTTGTATCTTAGCCATGGACGTCCTACATTCCTGTAGCCCTGATCTAACTGGCTGAACATTAGGATCTTGGGTGTCTTGTTATCAAACATTCTCAAGACATGATCAGTCTATCGTAATTGAGACTGTATGATAAAAGTCTCGATTCCTCCAATATTACACCTGTTAAATAGGTCTACATTAGATGTCCTATCTTGAAGCTTAACTCCACAGATTGCATGAAGACAGCTTTTATGGAAAACATCCAGCTGGCATACATGGTACCTGTATGGAGTCCACAACTCTGAGCTGTACAAAAGGATGGCAAGGACAACAGCTCTGTAAACCTGAATTTTCTTATCCAGTTGAAAACATGCTCATTCCACAAGCGATATGAAGTTTGCCGAAAGCACTGGTAGCCTTAGCAATCCGATGCATGATTTCATCATCTAAAGTTCTACTGTCTTTTGACTTTGCTACCAAGATAGGTGAAAGATATATATATATATATATATATATATATATATATATATATATATATATATATATATATATATATGTATCCTTTCCCTTGCCTGAGGAGACCTTATAGTCAAAACCTGAGTTGAGAGCTTGATTGGTATTTTAGCCTTTTCTTAAATAGCTGCAAATATTCGATTTTGAATTTTTATTGAGCAATATATATATATATATATATATATATATATATATATATATATATATATATATATGTGTGTGTGTGTGTGTGTGTGTCTGTGTAGTATATATGATAGTATAGACCTAATTCTAAACAATAACACCTTTAAATTTGACAACAAAAACTATATCCAAACCCTAGGTACCGCAATGGGAACAAAAATGGCGCCAACATATGCCACCATAACATTAGCTTACCTAAAGGAAAACCTCTGTAAAAAGATAGAACAAATATATGGGGAAAATATAAAGACACACTTCACTAAATCTTGGAAACGATACTTTGATGATTGCTTCAATTTCTGAAAATCCTTATGGGGTGATATTAACCAATTCCACATTCTACTTCAAAACTTACACCCAAAAATCAAAGTCACCCAAGAATATAATTTCAACGAATTACCATTTTTAGATATACTCGTTAGAAAAAATAAAAAAAAATAAAAATAAAAACAACCACATAATCACAGATATCTACCATAAAACTACAGACACCCAACAATATCTTCATTTCAAGAGCCATCACCCAAAATGCTGCCCAAAATCCATTCCCTATTCTCTAGCACGTAGGGTTTATACTATGGTGACTGACAAAAGCCTCCGAAAAACTCGCCTAGAACGTTTTTGAACTCGCAAAAAAATTTCTTTCGACCAACTACGAAATCCAAAGAACGAGCGTCGATCAAAGTCTAGAATATGTTTCAACATACGACAAGAACAATCCAGAACTATTTACAGAAATTACAATAATTTCGAACTACATAGCAAGAATAAGAAACTGAAAAATATACTGAAAACAACCAAAATAATTAAAAGCAAACGCCATTCTAAAAACCTAAAACACATAAACCTCATCCAAATTTAACCAACACACAATAAGGGGAGTCACAATTTGCAACAAAAAAAAGATGTGGGGTTTGTGACATCATTATACAAATTCTATGGTTATACATTTTTGAAAACACCAAAACGACATTCATAATAAAAAAATAATTTAAAATGCGACTCCCAAAACTGTAATTTATGTACTCAAATGCACGAAATGCAAGAAGCCATATATAGGTATCAGACAACAAATAAACAACAGGGTCTCTCTACACAAAAGCAACATAAAATTACCAAACAACAGAAAACTCTTTGTATCACAACACATCTATAAATGTAACCAGGGTGAGTTTAAAACTATGCCAATATATCAAGCAGACAATTATTCTTACCTACAAATACAAGAAAAAACTTCATAAACAAATTTAAACCAGCACTCAATAGATCATAACCCACACACAAAAGCACACAACATGTACGCATTATGACCTAATACAGTGGTCAAACCACTCGCATGCATGCGAGTGCACACGCTCACACGCTCACACGCAGGTATATGTGGAGTACGAATATGTACACGCATATTGGCAAAACAATAGACTGCTCAAAGGCACGCGCGCAAATCCTACACAACATAGGAAGTGTGCGTGTATGTATGTATATATGTATGTATATGTGTGTGTATGTGTGTATACTAATTCCTTATAATAAGACAGTATGTATGTATGTATAGAGAAAGAGTGTGCATGTATATGCGCCTACTGGTATATATATGCACATATTCACAAAAACAAAACTGCTCACGGGCACACACGCGAACCCCACACAACATAGAAAGTGTATGTGTGTATGTGTATGTATCTGTATGTGTGCGTGTTTATGTGTATGTATATGTGTACATTGTTGTATACTAATCCCTTATAATAAGAGAGTATGGAAGTATGGACAGGGAATATACTTATACGTACGCATGCTGACAAAATCATTAAAAAATGTAAATAGGTCTAAGAACACACAAGGGTTATTAAAAGATAAGAATATAGATACCTCCCTCACCCTTTCTCGGACCAGTCTTAATTGTTTTATTGCCCTTCACGCAGAACTTTTTCACTGCCAGTTCAAGGAAGACATCTGGCTCACTAACACACAAAAAAGAGAATGTCTAATATCGAGAATATTTAACATCGAAAAAGATAAAAAATTAATTTCTTTTAATATGTGGAAATATCCACTCTTTGCCTGATGAAGGTCACGAGACCGGAAACGCGTGCAGCAAAATTATGGAAAATAAAGTATAATATATATTTTTTTTTAAATCCACATTACAACCAAAAACGTTTGCGGTTTCTCTCTTCTTTTTTATATGAAATCTTTTCTCTCTTTAGAACTACTATAACCTCTTCCCTCCTTATATATATATATATATATATATATATATATATATGAGAGCTGGCCACTCGTAATCGAGGATTCCCGTCTACTAGGGCGGCTAGCCAATCCCTAATTCAGATGCTCGCTCAGGCACATTTGTGTTTGGCCACCATCCACAGAGTCCATCTGTGGTTTACACTACCACTATGCTGTGCAGATCTTAGTTAGGGTTTCTGAGAGAGAGCGTGTTATCTAGCGTGATAAAAAATCTGAACATTCAAACCCTCGGTCATGATGACTTGTGACTTCGTGCTAGAACAGCTATCGACAGTCCCTCAAGTGTTCCGCCTACCCAATTCCACTCACAGGGCTTGGTTCAAGCCGCGGTATGGTTTCCAGATATTTTCCAAAGGTTTCGCACGCTGGGATCGTCTTCCACCAGACCGATAACATCAAGGAAGGCTCCTTCCTGACAAGTCAACCGTAGTGAGATTTGAACTCGTGTCTCATGGTCAGAAAGCGAACATTCTAATCACTCGACTTCAAAAGTTATTATAAAGCATTTCCAACAGGCGCCCCCTTTTTCATTTGTTAAACTGTGTTTATTACATCATCCAATCTGAACATTCGAGAAATCTTAGTAAAAAAAAAAAGGCAT